TTGGTCTTTTTTTTTTTTTTTTTTTTTTTTTTTTTAAATCTCAATCTTATAACAGTCATGTGTTTAGGGTTTTTTAAAGTTTCATGAAAAATATTGTATGAGCTGCTATCTGCAAGGTTTGTGTGAATATTAAGGACTTAATATGGCTTTAGACTCAAGTGGATGCTCAGGTGCAAAGGGTTTTTTTTCTTGGATGGTAAATGACAGTAAGGTTTACTGCAGTCATGCAGATACTGTGACACAGGCATGGCTGGCTGTATTGAAGTTCCACAGTAGAAATATTTTACTGATGTGTAGCAACCATTAAAACTTTGATCTGTGAGTCAGAATTTTCCAGGTTTCCGTGAATGGAATTAGCTTTATCTGCTCAATCAAGTGGTGCAAATATGGTGATTGACAGCTCTAGGCCATTGTCCTTATGAGTGAACTTTTCTTCAGCAGCGGGACAGACAAAATCTTCACAAGCAGGTTTCCAGTGCTCTGAGAGTAAAATTCCTCTGGATAAAACGTTATGAAAAAGATATTACAAGGTCTAAGGACTTGCATGGGGACATAAGACTCCAAGGTATGTTTACCTTTTCTTTCACTTATAGAGCTGTCACAGCAGTGAGCATTCCTTTTACGTGCCTTTCTGCTGTACACAGCACACTGCCTGCCCTCAGCACCCTACATGTTTCATCATCAGGCATCAACTAACTCATCTAGGGTAGAAAGTTATTTTGTATACAGAAAGCTCACATGGCTTTGCTTCAGGGTGTGGTGAATGCAATGAGAAGGCCTGAGCTGGAATATGGATTAGAGTGCATCTGTCAATAGTTGGTTTAATTTCATTCCCTTGATTTTTGCATCATTTTGGCAGGCTTGCTATGGGGCTTTTCACTGACTTTTCGATTTTTATTTTTATTTTTTCATTTCCCCGTGCTCATTTTAACAGGAAAAATAGCCAGCCTGCTGTATTTAGTCACAAAACAAGTTGTTATCAGGTTTTGTTATTAGAGTGATAATTGTTAGAATTCAGAACTTAAATTCAGAAAAGCAGTTTAATATGAAAACAGGTTATATACAATGTTTGTACTCATTCAGTAATAAACCCTCCTATGTTATATGAACTAATCTGGCATTTGACTATGTGACCACTAAAAGTAATGAATCTTCTTAAGTGCCCTTTTCTTGTGACTTTTTTTATCTAATATATGCTACCAGTTCCATTACAGACCTATTCACAGTCAGTTGAATTCTGAGGTTGGTAGTTGTGACAACACGCCCAGGGAATACTGCTGACATGCATATCCCTTCAGAGAGTGGTTTTGTTCCAACTCTGACAATGAAAGTTGGTATCAGAATTGCAGTGACAGGCAAATATTCATGGTGCTAGGAGAGCAGAAGGAGAGGGAAATAGATGCATATTAACAAGTGGACTCGATAAAAGAAGCCTGATAAAGAAACAGAAGCAAAGGACTGGAAAAGGAACAGCTGCTTGTTTGATTTGCAGGAATGTAAAACAGCCCACAACAAGGGAGGCAGTAAGTTAACTAGTGACAGAGGCCACTATTCACAAACATATCTTTACTCAGGAGAACACTTCAGGATGTCCCCAAAACATGGGGCTGAGTGCTACCCTGGGCAGGTTTGTTGTCAAAAAAACCCTCTTGTTTTGTTTATTTCAGAATTGTTAGGAACTTGTTACAAGTAGCAAAGGTTGGTGAACATATGACATTTTGTAAATCATTCGTTTCTCTTTTCTTCTTTCCTGTTTGCCCTTCCCTCCCTTTAGATCTAACTTCTAGCACAAGTACCACAAAAAGCATGGAAGAGAAGAAGAAAGAGAAGAAAGCAGAAGAGCAACTTACAGAACCTGAATCAGCTTTCCCAGAAGCCTTACTAGAATTTCAGTAGGTTTAATATATTTAACTTTTCACTCATATAGAATATTTGAAGGTATAAAGCCGATGACAAAGACGACTTGTCCAATTCAGAGCCTGAGCTGATTGACTGTGGCAGTTGTATTCATTTGTGTTCTTGTTTTGGGTTTTCAGTGCTATTTTGGAAATACACGCTCTTTAAACTATAGCGGTAAGAGAGTATTCAAGTGGGTCAGAGATATTTTTATGCCATTAGGTTATAACTTGGGAAAAAGTTTTATTAAAAACAAACAAAACCCATAATTTTTGTCTGTTAGTAGCAAGCTTTTGATGAGCATACTCTGAAGTTGCAAGGTCACATTTGACTGGGTTGTTTTTTTGTTTTTTTTTTCTTTAGAATTCCTTGGTGTTCACAGAAGTATGTAGTCACTAGCTAGAACCTCAAGACCTACATCTCAAGTTTGCTCCCTTGGTGCAGCTGAGAGCAGAGAACAAAAGGAAGTGTTTTGTTTTGAAAATAATGGAGGGAAAACTTAAAGGTCTTTTAAAATCAACGAGAGAAAAATAAGATCAAAGAGGGGAATATCTGAAGTAGTTATAAAATAGTCCAAATTATTTGCTCTCCAGTTGCTTCAGTAGATGATTAAAAGGAGAAAAATGAAGCTCTGTGACTTTGATAAAAAAGGCAAATACTGAAAGGGAGAAACTTCAACGGCATCCAATATTCAACAGTTATCAGCATTTAGGGAGCAAGGAGTAGTGCCTTGGTGTAGAAATGAAAAGTGGAGTAAGGAAACTGAAGAGCAATCTCATATAGTTCTAGTGACATCTGTAGGAGTTTACAGGGTTTATGTGAGATTTTCTATTTCATTTTACAAAGAACAGAGTACAGGTTTCCATAGTCAGCAAGCCAACACATCTATTTTGCTAAAAATAAGCAAACTGTGTTACTAGGCTGAGAAAAAGCCCACACCACCTTCTGATAAAATTGTTGTTATGCATATTCAAATATCCAAGCAAATGACTCGTTTGTCTGAAGAGTCTTCCACTGAAATGGGTGCTGTACTGACACAGGATATTTCATTTCTACAGCAACAGTAGGGGGAAAAGGGAAGAAAAGTATTATTCTTTATGTCTTTATCTTTCTCCCTCTCTCTTTCCCTCTTGCTCTCTTTCCCTCTCTATACCTCTGTGTAATCTGTAACTTCTCTGTACCACTTGACTGAACAAAGCAGCATAACCATACAAGTGAATATCTGCACATTCCACTTCAGGATTTATCAGTCAAGTGTGTAGTATTTATTTAACTTCCACTCCTACTGTTGCTTCTGTACATTGAAGAATGGTGGCTATTCATATAGAGTTTGTTAATTTGCATTTTCAGTATACTTTCAGTTTCAGGATTATTTAAGAACAACAATACCTTGAATTACTTGCCCTAGTAACATCCTACAGATGACTGACAAAACTGTCATGGTACTGGAGAAGAGTGTTGTTTCTAGATGATTAAATCATTTAAATGAAACCTAGTCTACAGAGTTGAGAAAAATAGTATCAAAGGAATGATCAATCTAGGCACTTTGTAGTTTTAATCTGGCAAATACCACAGAAAAATAATCTGAAGAGGAAAGTTACAAATGTAGCAGACAAAACAGCAAATTCTACTCATATGTTTTTGATGCTAAAAAAGTGACAGATATAGACTGTCACTTCATGGACAATCTTAAAAGTAGCAGAAATTGAGATCAGCAACAGTGTTCAAAATACAGAAATGATTTAAAATGGCAGGTAATTTAGGAGGTCACACTGTGTGGCCAAGCTGTCCCCTCTGTCTAATAAGTGATGTATTTTTGCTGTAGCCATCACCACCATCCCCCAGTATCTCTGTTCTAGTCTCTCTAACTAATATCCTTGTACTTAATGGAAAACCTGAAGAGTATCTTGGAGCACACTGACACCAGAGGATGCAAATCTAGTAAGCTGCAATTTGCATGATTGAGTGATGCAAACTTATACAGAAAAAAAAATATCTTCTTTTAAAACAACTTAATACAATAAGAAGGGGCAAAAAAACCCCCACAAACAAACAAAAAACAACCCCCCAAAACCTTAAGGAACAATAGCTGTTGAAACAGTAAAAGGTATTGTGATAATTATAATACTGTTGTGCTGTATGATGAAGGAGTTCCAGGAACAGAGGGAAAGATTACAGAGAATTTTGCAAATAGATACCATTTGCAATCGTTTTTCTCATTCTAGAAGAGAGAACACCAGAAAAAAAACCCCAACTTATTTCACAGCTGTTGCAAAGAGGATGACAAGTAGTATATGAAAATTGTGAAAGCAGTGAACTAGTTCTTTGACAACAATGTGTAAACATACTTAGAGGATACTACTGGGGCTGCAGTCCCTATATCCCTTGTGCTTCTTAAAGGCTAATAAGTTCTTGGTGTACAAATGCAGTTTATGAAGCTCAAGAAACCACTTTCAGAAGAATTGAATCCCATTTAATTCTCCAGTTTGGGATTCATCAGACCTATGCCTGAGTGAGTTGCCTAGGCTTCCTCTATAGTCAGTGGTGAGTAATAAATATTTCTGGAGCACAAATAATCTTGTTCTAAAAGAGACCTGTGGAATAGGTCAGCTAAACCACATTCAGAAAGAATAAACCAGTTTAATCCTCTCTAGTGGTTAGAAGGGAACAGTATAATCAGGGAATTTGTTTCTCAGTAGGAATATGAGATCCAAACTGACATAAAGGTCCCGATGTATATGGGAAATAATTTCTTTATGTGTAGAAAGCAAATAGTGGTATCCACCCATATGATACGAAAATAAACATTTCAGTAGTATTTACATCTAATCTATCTTAAATACCATTCCTCCCTCTTCTGTTTCTGTAAGAATATCTCTCTTTACTCTTTCTCCACAGAATTGAGACAAAAGAAGCAGCAATTGACCGTGCTTTGTTTGATCTGAAACAAGTGGAAAAAAAGAACAAAGAATATCATCAAAGAGTAAGAGACCATGTGTCCTTCTCCCAACACATTTGATATGTGGTGTTTTAACTCACAGATTCAATTTTATTCTTTTAATCCTAATACTACATTCACTAAAACTAGTCACTGCAGTGAATTTCTTACAGTCAATGAAACTAGAGTTAGTGAGTCACTTCAGGTACTAAAAGTTAAAGTGTTACCTGAATTAAATGTGTGACGTAAAGCATAAATGTTTTAAATATAACCATGCAAAAAAAGGACCTGGAGGGGTGGAACACTGGAGAATAGGACACAGCCATAAGGTAAAGTGAGTTCAGTGAAGGTGTTTTCCAATGCACATGAGTAATGTGCAATGCTCAGTAACTGCCCAAGTATTTAATCTTACTCTGCAGCAAACGTAGGACAGCAAGCCCCCTTTTCAGGTAATTTTACTGCAGTACATTCAGATGTGCGTTTTTAAACAATCCTTCAAATATTCCTTAATATTTTAGCGCATAAAGAATAAACAGTATTAACTTCATTTTTGTCAGCAGTATTAGCAGATCTAACCAAGCACTGAGATTTGCTGACCACCTTTGATTCACCTCTGAGGTAACAGAATTGCACAGGTTTCTATGAAAGTTTACTGATTCTTGCAAACTTAGTTAAAATGAAAACTGATCAAAGAACATCACACAATTGTCTAGGTGCAATTCTTAGCACTGCTTGATGAAGACTCACTTTCTTGAGAATTAAGAGTTGTGTTGGGTTATTTTTAGAACAACCAGTTCTAAAGCCATTAGAACTACCAGTTGCACCCAAGCGACACTTTAAAGAACCATATGTGTGAACTGTATATAAAGAACCATAATATGGCATCTGATGACTGAAAGCAGTGAAATTTGAAAGTTTATTTATATATATATATATATATATATATGTATATATATGCAGTCACCTAATGAATTCAAATAGCTCAAAAATCCTTAAACTGGATCATGTGATTAACCAATGTTGCAGTCTCTATTTCCTGTAGAAGGGAAACTTTGAAACCTTCCCATACCTGATACTTGCCCTGCTTTTATAAATATCCATCTGTTTATCTTTCCTTGGTGTTCCTTTCAGTCCTGAAGCCTGAGTGGTGTTTATTTGTGGCCTTAACTATCAGTGGAAGTGGCACGTGGATCTTCTCTCTGCAGACATCTGAAATCTCTTACGGTTATTCCCCTAATTTGCTGCTAGTTCATGGTTTCACAAGGACTCCTTCATATTTTAGACTGTGCAAGGTACTTTAGGGCATACTTGAAGTGCTATTTGTTTAATTTACCTGTGTTTTGAGAGTTCTTTGAGCTCCATCTTTTGCTTCCTGCTTCATGTTTCTGAGTGGTTTAGAGTTAATCCTTCTAGAAGGGAGGAATGCTCGAGACTACTGCACAGTTACTGTTACAGTTTGGCTGATACGGTTATTTGCTCCTTTATGGTATCCTTTGGGAGCAAACATACACGATCAGTAATTTCAAATAATTTGAGTGACACTTGAGAAGGGTCATGGAAAGGGTTACAGTCACAGTTGTGGAATCAGTAGGTAGAACTAATTCCAGCTCTGACAAGACTGTGGTTACATGCAAATGACCTGATCATCTGACAGCATTTCTGCCTGAAGGTGGTACATTCTCATGAAGAATATTGACATGAAGTAAACAACTCCTACAAATAAATATTGTTCTTAAATTGACCCATAAGGAACTTACTTTTCAGGCAATGGAGGACCATTGATCTGCTGCACCAAGTACAGCAGTCATTTGTCTCTCATTTCCTTGTAATGGTCTTGAAGTTACCAAGAAACTTTTGAGACTTGCAAGCTCTCCCTTCTGCTTCATCCTTTTTGAATAATGAAGAACAGGTGTTTAGCTGAGTGTTTCTGCAGTGCATCCGGGCACTAGGTCAGATTTTACTTTACTTCATCACTTAAGTTTGGCACTTTGAAAACTAATTTGAAAATGTTTTAATACTTGCCTTTTCTTCTGTTGTTCTTTCATAGAATGACCGTCTGAAGGAAGAACAGCAGGAACACATCAGGCGCATACTCAGGCAAATGAAAGAAGAGGAGAAAGAACAAGATGAAAAGCAGGTTGTGACTAGGGATGATGTGGAAGAGTCACTGAAAGCAAAATGGCAGTATGTTAAGGACCAAGAACAGCTTCTGAAAGGTATGTTGCGAGTTGTGGAAGTGTGGGTTGCAGTTTACGCAGCTGGGATTGAGTTTTTTTTTTTTTTTTTTTTTTCATTTTAAATGGAAATTCAACTTCCTCATTGCATAAAGCTTTTCCTCCCCAAATTTAAGCTCTTTCAACATGGTAAAAGATTGCGGAGGGCTTATAAGTAAATCTCTTCCTTCCAGGTGGTGTTATATTATTGTGCAAGTACAGACCCTTCATTTTTTCCATAGAGTTGAAACTCATGTAAGTGCTATGTACTGGCTCTGCTGGAAGATTTTAAAAAAATTATTGATGGAAGCAAAAATGAGAACTTTTGATTGTTGAAAGTTCTGGCTGCCATCCCTGAGATTCTCTGTGGGAAACATGTGTGTCTTTGGCTACAACATTTCAGTGAGAACTGTTCTCTCCCCTTGGCAGAATAAGATCAAGCTGTTTGTTTTCAGCAGTGATCGTGGCCCTTGACACTATGTGAGGCCATCATGTTGTAATGTATTGTAGTGTAAAAGAATCACCCTTCTTTCTCCAATGCCAATGCATGTACCTTTATTAAAGAATTTGATGACGTTGTAGGAATTATGAACTATCAGTCTGAGAAATTGGTAATGTACTCGTCTTCTGATGTTCTTATTTTAATAGATCTGCACTCCCAAATTGAAGAAGCTGGCCAAAGACTTTCAGAAAAGCAGAGTGAGAGGGATTATTGGTTGGAGTACAAAAATGTAGGAAGTAAAGCACAGGCCAACAGGATTATGAATCTGGAAAAAGTCATTAAGGAAATAGAATATGACCTTCACAGTACTGCAGGTCAGTTTACAGCTAATGTAATGTAAATCTTACAGGCTCTTTGTGTATTACTTGCAGGAATTAATTAAATTATAGATTTAATTTGAGGTCAAGTTCTAGTCATTTCTATCAGCTTTTCCAAGACAGAACACCTAAGGTGGGCTGCATAATCCTGTAAAATGGAAGAACTCTCTATCTATCCCTGTGAAAGTCCCTTTTTTAAACAAATTGATAAAGCTACAGAAATTATGAACACTTACAGAAACTGATATGCTTGTCTTCTGCCAATTTTCTTGTAAAATTCAGGCTACCCATTTTTAAAAAAATGTTACTGTGAAGGACAGCAGTTTTCTAAAAATAAGTCTACATAGATTTAGGTCACCTACACAGACGGCTCCCTTAGCAGTCATACCTGAAAATGTTGACTCTGCTGTTGTTGCTTCTTATCATGCTGCAAGCGCTTCACGTGTTGAAAACTCCTTTGACAGGAAAGTAGTATGATCTCATTCTTGGAACAGTCCTTTCGATCGAGCGTACTGGTTTAAACGCAGAACTAGAGGGAGCTGTTTAGCCAGCGGTCTGAACTTTGCCTCCTAGTTGCATAGTCTCGTGTATGAGGCCCTGCAAAATTGCCAGTACAGACATATACAAACACTGGGAACTGTTTCAATACTGACACAACAGTGGAATTCATTTGAGAGTTTATGTGTCCTGCTGCAGAGTGCTTTACAAAGATTTCTTTACTAATGCATTATTTTAAAATAATTTAAATATTTTGCTGTTACATAACCCATGCTTCTAGTGGGAGAAGGATGTCCTGGTTTTCTTCCTTTATGTCCCTCTCAGTATGCATGACCACAGCCAAGCAGCTGGTAGTAACAGGCAGTGACACGGCTCTAAGGGTCTGTATATTCTGTGCCAGCCATTACCAGGCGTCAACTACTGTGGATAAGAGCCAGCTAGCTATCTTTTTGTCTCTTGAAACATATTTTACCAGAATTAAGATCTGCACTGTGTTTTCTACATTGCTGGATAGCTTGCAAGGTATCCATCTCTGTATTCAGAAGAGGTTGATATTTTTCATTATGTGCTTTCTGTGTTCTTAATCAATTTAAAACTTTGCTATACAGCTGCTGAAATATGAAATGAAAAAGAGAATGGGCTTTTATGTAGAATGCCAGAATGTGCCAGTAGGAACACTCAGTCTGACCTCCTGCATGTCACAGGGTACAGAGCTGAAAATCTGTGCTAGAACGGAAGTGTATTTATAGAAGGGCTGCTACAGAGGTACATATAGCAGTTGCCTAATTAACATACTGCAAAATGATGCTGCCAGTACTGCAGTACTCAGGTTCCTAAAATCAAACTTGTAAAGTGGCTGGGAAGTACAGTCTACTAGCCCACAAAAAATTATATTTTTTTTTAGAAAAAATCAATCTAACAATCTTCCAGAGTGATGTGGCAACAAATTGGGGCTTGTTCACTCCTTGAATGTGGAAGAGGCTTAGGGAATAAGCATAGGTGAAGAGGTTTCTGTAGGTACCACTGAAGGGCTTGACACTAATGCAGTTCATGTGGTCTGGACATGACATTTTAAATAAAATTGTTGGAGGGGAGAGGAAGCAAAAGAGAGCCGTACACTTACATGAGGTGTGGGGAAAAATGTTACAGTGAGAGAATTAGGGAAAATAGTCTCCTTAGAAACAGTATATATGTCTGAACAGTTCTCCTTTTCTTCATTCTCCCAGTACAATGGGAGTTAAGCTGTCTGGCTGTTTAGCTGTCTGAAAGAATGAAAAGATGAATTAATTATAGTATGTAAGTACTTTCATTTCATCCTGCCAGGGTCTAGATGGTGGAGTGATTAAGTCAGGCCAGCTTCCACAGTGTTAAATTAAGAACTGATGTACAACTAATGCACCTTTTCATATTTGACTGCCTTTGACTCTGCAGTGGGTCCATGACCACATACTCATTTACAGCCAGACCAGCAGTAGACTGCCTGCAGCACAAGTGCAGAGCTAGGCTGAATTTCAAGCATCTGGAAAAAGTATGAAGTGCCTTCCTTCAAAGAAAATTACTACAATCTCATTCATTCCTTCAAAGGGAGAAAATACCAAGCAGCAGTGGGCTATTTAGAATAGCACAAAAACAACTGAAGGGAGGGTTGAAATAATTAAATAGCAAATTACTAGAAGTTGAAGCCAAACAAATTCAGTTTGATGTAAGACACACTTTTAAAATAATGGCCACAAGTAATGATGAAAGCGAATCACTGAGGCAGTTGCCACATTCTCCATTTTGTCCTGTTGTCAGATTAAAACCCTCTGGAAGGCTTAGATAAGTCAGAAAACTTACTAGGTTCTGTATAACTGTCTGAAAAAAAATGCCACGTGTGTAAGATGATCCAATATGCTTCTATATTAAGAAAATAATTTTTCTAAGCAAATCTCATACATGACTCCAGGAGCTCTGCTATTGATAGAGACAAAATTGAATATTAAGATGTCAATATTTCAGCAGAGAATTGCTCAGCTCGTTGCTCCATTAGAATTGAGTTGCTCAGCTGTTGTAGTTGCCAACAGAAACATGTAAGTCACTTCAGATTTCTAGTTTTGTAGTTTTGTCCTTTGAGTTGAGGAGGACGATTTCTGTGGAGAAGGATATTTGAATCTTCTACGTATGTGCACAGAAGCATCTATGCATGTGATGCTGGCTGATAAATTCTAGTTTAGGAACAACATGCCAATAATCTATTTGTTGTCAGGAGAAATTGATGTCAAATAATTATTTCTGATTTTCTTTTTTTGTTTTGAAGAATATCATAGAAATGCTTTAAAAGCAGTGAAAGAAGAAAATGACAAACTGCTTGAAGGGCACATGAAGCTAATTAAGGAACAGGCCTGTGAGGTATTCCTTTTGCCTTTTTTAAAAGTGCTAACTACATCATAGTTAGAATTAATGTACACTGTATTAATAATTATTTTAACTCAAATTAAGACTTGGAACTTTTCTAATAAATTGAAAGTAAAATAAACTGTCAACTTTCTTACTAAACATGGCATACACACATGCACTTTTTTTTGTTTTAAATCAGACTAACAGTGAGTAGATGTGAGGGCATTTTACAAACTAAGTATAGGAAACTGGGGCACCATGCACTGATATGACTTGTTCAAGAACATGTCACTTGCTGTGACCTTAATTTTGATGTTTGCATAGACTTCAAAAACCAGTGACACACTAAGAGATTGTCTGCATGGAAATAAACAATTTGAAGAAAAAAAACTTGGTTTGTACTTGTACAACATTTTTTAAATGCCAAAATAAGATTTTTTTTTTTTTTTTGTCATCTCTGCCAGCTCTGCTTTACAAACATGATTTACGAAGTACTTATTGTGATGACTTCTTAGACTCCCAAAATACAAAGAATACTTCAGAACAGATCACTGGTTGGGCCCATTAGGTATTCAAATTCCTTGACTCCGCTGCTGGAATTTTCAGTCATGTGAGCACATAATCTTTATGGTGATCTACAAGGGCATCTTCCCTCCCAGTTGTTCCTTTCCACTTACTGACATTAATAATTAAATTGTAGCCTTGGCTCATTAGCATAAACCTCTACATGTTTAAGTCAGTCACTTGTCATAGATCAGTACTGAATCGTTTGTGATTTTATTTGCTTTTTTTAACAGCTAACAGTTTGATTTCCCGAAAACAGAAAAATTAGAGCAGTAGTGGGAACATAGCAGAACTTGTTAGCCTATTTTAATATAGGAAATCATAAAATACTGGTAAATTGCTTGACACAAACTGTACTAGTCAGGATGATGGAGAAGAAACAGCTGGTCTTGTGGGCTAAATCCCCTTGTAATCCCTCGGGGGATGCTACAGTCTGTTGTGTGGCTTTTTCTTAATTATTTCCTGCTGAACAGCAGAAGGTTGTTCTTTATAGTATGCAGCACTGTCAAACTCCTGATTTCAGACAAGATGATCTTAAATTGTGTTTTCTCAGAATGCTGTAAGATACTTAGACAAACACAGTTGCAGAGAAATTGAAGAGAATGAATGGCTAAAAGAAGAGGTAAGCAGATCACTTTCATACTGTTTATCATAGCAGTTCAGGTTTGAAATACCATGACCTACACTCATAACTGTTTCCAGTGATGGACCTCTGGAGACTTTCATAGGAAAAGGACAGCAGTTTTCCTGTAATTAATCTGTAATCCTGAGTAGCAAACAGTGTATGTGGTGAATAAAGATAAAAGGTGAGTATCTACTTTCTCAAATGAAGGAGCCCTTTTCCTGCCCAAGCAGTTATGTGAAGCTTCTATACAATGATATACAATTATATACAATATGTAAAATAACATATACGTTAAGTACATTATTTGTGTATAATGCATTATGTACATTATATACAATAATTACAATTGTATATACAAAAATATACGATTAAGTATGGACATCTGTGGAGATTAGAATACTGTATAGTGTAAGGGCACAACCGTGCAAGTGTCTGAAGAGTGTAGTTTGGAATTGCATTAAAGTTCTAGTGTTGCTATATTGAAAGAAAATAGATATGGATGTTGGAAACATTTTTGGAGAACAGGTTTGGGACAGCTTTAAATGGGAGGTAATAAAGAAATCCTGGAGATTAGTACACTGAAGAGAGGAAAATAAAAATCTTATATAGTTGTAATTGATTACTTGATTGCTTTTATACTGTACTTTAATGGCAATTTAGAGCTATATATTAGATAGTTGTAACTTTTCTTGTCAGGAAAACACTTTTTTGTGAGCCAAAGTTAGGGAACTGATTTTCCCATGGTGAAAGTTTGATTGTGTGTGTTCTAATCAATGCAGATTCTTTGTGGTGATTGATCTAAGCAAGAGATTGGAGAGAGGAAGTACTCTTCCCCACCTTTACAATCTCACAGTTTAAAACTGAGCAAAACTTTTTTGGAAATTAATAAACGAACTTCTTATTTTTCAGTGCCACATCAACAAACTTTACAGAGGTTTCTCCATTTTACTTACTAATTTAAGATACTTGCCAGCATGCAGGGATATGGCTTTCCTTCTTCCCCTTAACGAGCTATGAGCTTACATCTTTAATTTTCCAGGGTGGTTGTCCAAACCACAGCTTCTGAGGCAATGACGTAGGGGTCAATAGGGCAGAATTAATGTTTTAATCTGTACAAACAGGTAGGACCTCAAATCTATACATCCTATCATCAAATCAGCATGAATTCCCTTCCTTTCTCCCTGTCTCACTCAACAATTACAAATTTTGCATGCATGAGGCAGCGTCAACAGGGGGAGATCCTCTTTGGAGTACTCATGTCCCCACAGGCCCTCACCTTGGAGTTGAGGGATTTGGGTTTCTTTCCTCTCAGCTGGAAGTTTCCTATGTTATGAATTAGTTTCCTATGTTACTAGTTTCCTATGTCATGAATTAGTGCTTTGAATTATTGTGGAAAACAAAACTATTATCACTAATTTCTGTAGTACTCTGAATTCACCCATTCATTTTCTGTGTTTTTCTTATACAGATGAAATATTTTCTTTCAGGCTAATGTTTGTATGTAGCTGACAGACTCTTGCGGTATTTTCTTTTGGGGAGATAAACCAAAACTTTCAGTTTTGTCCTGGTACAAAATTTATCATTTTTTCACTTTGGCCACTGAACTTAAAAATTAATTACCAAAACAGCCCTGAACTAGTTACCTCTGAATTTGAACAGATTTGGAGACTTCAGTCACATTTTTCCATGGTTACTGTGTCACACCAAGATGGTGCAAAGCTGCATCACCTCATCCTGCCAAGCCACATCCCATTACTGGTTAATGGCCTGTCATTTTAACTGGTTTTAATCTGTGGGAGAAATGGGAACTAGTTTTTAACTTCAAATTTGGATAATTATAGCTGGGTTAATTGGGCTTTGGTGAGAACAGATACATTCAGATCACTAGGTACTGCTTTTAAACGTGTGCATATGGCTAAGATTTCTGTGAAGGTATCTATCCCATAGTATGTTCCACTTCCCAGTGAAGGGGGAAAGAATGTGCTTGTGCTTCAGGAAAAGTGAGAGGAACTGTGGGAACTGAATAATGGGTATCCTTTGGTTAATATAACTTCATGGCAACATGAGGCGATTTGATTACCAGTCCAAAAGGAAGTAGAACCTAGGGTTTAGCCAATGTCATGGCTAACTTGGACTGAAAGCTTCACTAATTCTGGGTAAAAATGTTTTGTGTATAGGCAGGAATTAGAAAAGCAACACTTGCTGAGCAAGAGCCTGAATTTAAGTCTACAAAGAAGTTTTTTCTCTCTCAAAGCTCTGATGTAAAAGCAAAAAAGAAAAATCCAGAGCTTCTGTCTCCCAAACCTGTTTGGCTACATGAGAAGGTTCTGCTATCAGGGTTGCATAGTCCAAATGTGTGGCTATGATTGAGAGAGTTGTGCCAGTAAAGGGTTCTAATAAAGGTGTGAAGGAACCAGAGAGGCCTTCCCTTTGCTTGAAAATGTGTCATTATGTTCCTCCACCAAATGCACAGTCTTGCTGATATAGCTGTATTCATCCTAGGCATGTGCTATCCAGATAGTTACTATTAAAGCTTTCCAAAATGGGTATAGTCTTTCTAATTTTTTTTTTTTTTTTTTTTTTTTTAATTGTCAAAAGATTAAGAGGTACCAAAAGGAAGTAAGTGATTTGAAAGCCTCTATTCAGCTCCTGGAAGAAGAAAATATTGCTTTAGTGACAAACATAATTGATGCCAGACTTCAGAATCTGAGGGTATGCAGGTAAAATGATGTCTTCATAGACGCAAAAGAAATTTTTATTTATTTATTTATTTATTTATTTTAAAGATAACACTGCTTTCTGCCTCTAGAGCTATTTGGGCTCTCCCACAACAAAGCTAGAGGGGAGGCAGGATTTGGCTGAGTATGTGTGGCACTTGTGTCTCTGAAGAATGACATTGGCACTGTAACCTCCTAAATATCAAAATTCAGGGAAGAAACTGGGTTATTTACTAATCTATTAAGACCTAGTGACGCTCACTTTCTTTTAGTGGGGATACCATTGGGGCTTGGAAATAGTTTCTTTCTGTTGTAATTGTCTCAGACCCAAGTGCTGAGTAATAGATTTTTCCTTTACTATTGGCAAAATGTTTAAGGATGTGAAGATTATTATGTAAATATATGGGGTTTTGCAATCTCAAGTGAAACAAATGACCTGGTACTAAGTAAGGAAGAGGCCTTGGGATAGTTCTGTCTGCAGAGGTGTCTGTAGTATTAGTTTCTTTTATATTCAAATTATTTAACTTGTCCCCTAGAGAAAGATTAATTTAGCTGTAAAATGTCAACACTAATGCTATCAAAAGCACAGTGTAACAATGGGAATGGTCCATCTTCATTTTCCAGTTCCAGCTCAGTGATTTTAGCCATATTGCATTAAAAAGTTCCAAGTCTTAGAAGTGACCATTTTTCTTTCCTCTCCAAACTTTGGACTGCTTTTTAAGTGAGAGCTGCCAGCTGTGGTTTGAATCTTGGACTGACTGGAGACTATAACATTTGTTTTCTTTTAGTCTCATGGACATAGTTGAACTTAGGCACCAAGAATAAAAAAGAGCAGCTTATTAGCCACTAAGCTACCTGGCTGCCTCCGTTGCATTTTTAAACCATTGCGCTATTCTCCATTTGTGGTTAAGCACCAACTGGCTTTCAGAAAGTGTGCTTTCCCCCCTCACCCCAAAAGGTTGCACAGAACAATTTAGAGAGAAAATTCAGCCCTCTAATATGAGTTTTACTTTATCTTTTTTTATTTCACAGGCATTTGTTTCTTACTCAGGCAGCTGGTTCACAAGATGAATTTCATAAGGATGAAATGAATGAAGCAGAGTATAGAGAGTATGCAGGTAATGCACGTGCCAGCAGCCTATAAGAACTGAGAAGTTACTGAACGTTTATATACTTTTTATTTCTTAAGTTTTTTTTATCAGACTGCCTGTTTGACATGGTGAACACTTCATTTCCCAGTTAATTGCAGCCACCACAGAAATGATGGACTGTAGTTTACATTAAGAAGGCGAAACTACAATCTACCTGCAATAGAGTTTTAAAATTGAAATTGGTGTTTAGATTGTTGAATGTAATTACTCATATAGAGCTAACCTGGAATGTGGTTAGCAGTATCGGCCATCTTTTATGAAGACATGATTCATATCTTAATCAGTTCTTTACTGATCTATATCATCATAACTTCATCATATCTTGTCCCTGAGAGGACACTCTTGAACTCTACACTGGCTTTTCACTTGAAGTGTACATGCACTTCATGTTACAATCATTCAGCTCATAGAGATACACTGGAGTTAAATTATAAATAAATTCCTAGCAAGAGCAGATGAAGTTGTATGGAGCTCAGCCTGAACTGAAAATCTTGGTAAGCAGTACTGAATTTTGGGCTGAACCTCCATCTGTTCTGGTAGGTGTACTCAGGAAAAGGATACACCATTCGGCAAGAAGGACTATATGAGTGTGCTTATCCATTCAGGGTGGTTTGTATGGATTCCTTAATATCCATATTTTATGTACTCACTTTGTGTGAGTAGAAGAAAGAGTGGTAAAAAAAGACAAAATTATACTGAAGAGGTAACTTCCAGAAATTGAAGTTATACAGTTACAGATACATGAACAAGTCTGTTGAAGTTCCAGCCATAGCTGTGCCTTTCTGGAACCATCAGGCGTCATCAAACATGTTGACTAAGACTTCTGAATTAGATATATGTTTACTTTGAACAGTTCAGCTCTATTACCTTTGCTAAACCTTTACAATAGTTACTGGGAGGAGTAGGTTTTGTTCCAGTAATCTGGGGTCAAGTCACTGTCCCAGGCAAACACAGAACTCAACAGTTCTTGTCTGGAATTCTCTATCATCCTGAAAATTAGTCAGCTGCAGATGTGAGCTCTTCTGGGGAGTTGTAAGTCGACGAGCTGTGTTTCAGGAACTCGTATGTATGTACATATAGAGATACAGATGTGGATATTGAAAAGGTTTTTTTTTCTTGGTTTTGCTGTCTTTCCTATTTTTTTAACTATTCCTGGCTATATAGGATTTAAGTTGAACTGGTAAAAGTTGATTTTATTATTTTTTTTCCCCTGCCCCGTCCCACAGAACCATTACCCCTAACTTCCAATCAATGTCAGTCCCTGATCTTGATCAGAAATGGTAAGCTGAAATAAACATAGAAAAATGAGTGAGCAAAATGAACATTTGGCTTGGATTGCCAATTAAAAATCTTACCAAGCTGTTCATTACACCACAGTGGCCAAGCCACATTAAAGATCACAGGCATATATACCGAATACTAATTCTGATCTTCATAAAGCTTAGCAATTACATACACATCTTTGTTAATCTCTTTAAAAAGCAAAAGCAGATGGAGATGAAAGCCTCAGAAGTGCCACAGTCCCCTGTCAGAAAAATAAGGACTTTGCAAAGAGTCAGTCTAAAACAGAGAATGAGAAGCCTAAAGACAGTGATGAGGAGCTGTGGGGAAAGTCTTTCACTCCAACTATTGACAGCTTGTTGTATGAAGACAAAAATGTTTTCCAGGTATGAGTTAAAGTAACTGGAGTCTTTCACTGACACAAATATATTTCAGGTTGGAGCATGAGCTACTGCCAGGAGTGTTCTACTCCCAGTGGTGTTATGGCAGAAAAAACGCCAATGTCTTTTACCTAGTGCACAATCCAGATCTTAATCATAGGGTGCTGTCTGAGATGGTGAGGACACTCCCTGTCCTTCAGATGCCAGAAGACTGTAGGCTCTGCCATGCAGGTCAGCCTCACGTGGGTGTGTTGGATGCCTTAGGACATTTCCAACAGCATTGTTTTGGCAACTGAATGGTGTCTTAGAAATCAGTGTCCGTGAGTGTCAGGATGAAATTCCCCCTAGAAAGAATTCTCAGTGTCACCCAGTGAGTTTTCTATGGTACTGCACAGACTTGTTGGCTTAGATGCTGGTTCTTTAGAATTTATGTTTCACAGTAGCATTAAAGGATCAATAAGTAATTTATTCCTTCAACAGAAAGCCAAGACGAATATTTTTCTGGGTGCAAAATAGAGGGGTTGAGGAAATAAAAAGGTACAGGTTGTATGTAGGTAGACAGAGTTTGCATGGTTCTCAAAAGAGGTGGTGGCACCTGCTTCAGGAGATCCTCAGCTGCAGAAAGATGTTTTCTGGATGCCTTTGATAATACACTCTTGAGTTACGAAAACTTGAATACACTAATTAATTTCTCTCAGAAAATATATGACTCTACATCATCTATTTCTACTGCAAATTAAAGATGATGATATAGACATGGCACAGACTGCGGGGCTTGCTCTGTAGAGATACTTCTCCATAATGTTTCTCTGCTCTTGAATATTTTATTCAATCATACTCAATAATGAGTTTAAAAACCAAAATCCCCAAACCCAACAACTCATTTTTTTTCTAGAAATTTGGCATTCGTTTGATTAATACCCTGCAACTTCTGTTCAGAGAAGTCACCCTGCTGCCTCGATCAGAGACTAACCTAAGGAGCACCTCTGTCCTGAAGAGTCATTACAGAGAAAAGCTGAACATCGAACCAAAAACATTCTGTTCAGGTGTTTGTTGCCTTGCAGTTGTTGCCTTGGGAGAGGAAGAGTAGCTTTACTCCCTTCTTCCTGATGTTAGCACTGCAGAGCCCACCTCACTGAGGGCCATAGGTCCTGCTGACATTCTTGTACTTCCCAAGAACAAAGGTGTAACTACAGACAGCGGAGCTGCACTGACAACTATTAAGACAGCATTTATTAAGTAGAGGGGATTCAAGAGCTTGCACTGTAGGGTTCCTTCTTCTGTCCCCCTGGCCTTGGCTGAACAGTCCTGCTCCTGCCTTAGGGAACCAGTTGTGCACATCAGCCTCTTCTGTAGCTGATTCATTCACTACCCCAGCAGAAAAACTTGCCTTTTTTTCTCCTCTTGAATTAGTTTTCTGTTGGGTTAGTCAACCAAATTGACCCAGAGGTCTGGAGGTGGCCAGAGCCAGTGCAGATGTGGTGGAAGTACATGGCTGGACCTGGACCTCTGTCTTTTGGCAGTGGTGAGCTGTTGGATTAGTTAATTCTTCTCACAGAACTGAACTTGGGAGTAGAATCTGGTTTGCAGAGAAAGTGTTAGTGGTGAAAACACACAGGAAAAGGAAAGGGCAGCAGGGCTGCAGCCTCCTATGGCTTGTAAAGCGAGCCCGGTAACAGCGACATTACTAAACACAGCAACCCCAGGGCAGCATCTTTACAGTTCCTTTTAAAAGGAAAGTTGCTGAGTTCTTTTTAAGATCTGCTGCTTTTCTGTGTAATTGCAGAATAATAATAATATTCTTTCTTCTTAAGGACTACTTAAAGCTGGTCCCTCTGGAGACAAATCTAATGTGTGTCGTTGGAAGAGCCATGCCTATTCACAAAGAACCAGAAGAAATGCCAGGCAGGAGCCACACAGAAGATGGCGTTACTGGTAAATCAGACAGGCACATCACAGCTCAGATGATCAAGGCCTTATCTAAAGACGAGTTTGGTTAAAAATAGACAAACCAACACAGAAATGTAACATTGTCAGTTCATTAAGCATTTGCTCTGTTCTTCAAGGAGCGTGTGGCTCTGTGCTTTGTGGAAACTATTTTTGAGTGTCTGAATCATGATTTACATGTATAAGTTTCATGAGAGGTGGGTCTGTGTGCAGGTGGTTAATTGAAAGGTTGCTTTCCCTACCACTGTGAGAACTCTTGTGCACTTTTTGAGTTTCTCAGTCCACGTAGCTGCACATAGATCTAATCAAGAATCTGAGTTAATATTTAGTTTTTGTGGTCCCCACTTGCAATCTGTCAAATATGTAATTCCCTCTTGATCAGATACTGAAGGGGTAAATGTGGGCTGACATAAAATGTAACAAAATACTTAACACTCTGTGAAAGCAGAATCTAATTTATCCAAGCATAATTCAACTGTTGCTAGACATTGAATGTTTGAATGCATTTCATCTGCCTCCATAACCAAAATTTAATTGAAAAAAAGTTAAAAAACCAGAACATAAAAATAATCAGTCTTAAATACTTATTTTTTCTTTTTACAGCTGGCCAAATAAATTGCATGACCCTGTATCTTTGTTTCTTGGCTAGTCTCCATGAACACCTTTCTTAGTGCATTGGTCCAGTGGGTCTCTCCGCACCCTCGTTGCACATCCTGGACACCCCCCCACGAGAACACAACGCAGTTACCTCCCACAGGCACAGGAGGCTTCTGACCTATCCATTGCCTATTTAGAAACTTGTAAAAGCATCGAATAATCTGATGTAAACCCTTCAGCTGCTTGATATAAAGCTTTTAAAAAACCTTAAAACATTCTACACAACCTACATCTGTGCAGTGGGTCTCACTTTATCCTGTACTTCTGTGCAAACGTTTTTCATTTTCGAGCGAGCTCTGATGTTCCTACCCAGCAGGTGTCTTCTTGAGTTGCAGGGGAGTCCAAGGCTGGGCTCCACTGCCTGCAGCTCAGAAACGGGGCTCACAAGCGACCTGGAGAGGTAGGAGCCTTCACCTCAGACCAAATCTCACTTGTGTTGCCATGTGGTAAACAGCCAGATGAGCTGGGACGTGCTCTTGCTGTAACCCAGCTGAGTTCCCACAAGGCTGAGGTCTCCCCTGGAGAGCGGGGATGGGAATTTGCGAGGTGCTAACTCAGTGCAGCAGCAGCAGCAGCCTCCCCTCGGCTAGGCCGCTCGCTTTGAGTGAAGTGCAAGCCCCATGAAATGGCTTACTTGAAAGAGAGATTAGTTCTGCTTGGTGATTAGTTTAGCTTTTCACTCAGTCACAGAATTAGAATATGGCTTATGCTGAACAGCTTTTCAGTTAAAGAAAAGCCTCTCCTCCTTCCCACCACCCCCCAGAGGGCATTTCCAGTTCCTAGTGAGGTAAATGTAGGGCCCATCTCTAGGCTTCTCCTTGCTTATGCCCATAATGCATCCACCACGTGTAGGACATATGGCAGGACAACACAAACACGTACCTTAGAAAAAAAGAAACTTCGCCTCTTCAAGTCACTGTTTAGCCTTTTACTGTAAATGCCTGTGTGGGTGAGAGGGAGTTAAAAAGAAATCTGAAACATGCTAATTAGGGTGCAAGCCACAGGCAGCCTGCACAAGCCAGGAGCAACAGCCTGTAGCAAAACATATTTAGTGAAGTGTCCAAAATCCCCTTGATTTCTATAGGATTAGCATTAAGGCCAGTGTGAGGCTTTTATGCAGAGAAAGCTAGGTCTTCAGCAAATGAGGCATCTGGGTTTGATAATTTTGCTTCTGGCAAAATCTCTCAGCAATGAACAACATGTTGTAAAACAGAGGGTTGATCCATCCACTTTCTGGCAGCACGGCTAATGCTTCCAACTCAAACAATGGGAGCCAGGGTTCACTACTCCAGTTAGGATAAAACTTAAATTCCCAGCATTATCAAATACCTTTTCTTTACCATGTTTTTGTCGTGCAAGACAACTACAGGACACTAGGTTACATGATGTAGGAAAGCATCTGTGTGTCCCCACAACTATAATCCAAGCAAAGCCTTGGTTGAGCTGGAGTTATGTATTTAACTGGCACACAACTCAAAAGAAACTTGCAGTTCCAACAGGAAAAAAAAAAACCTCACAAGTGTTCACTGAAAATTCAAAGTTTAAGAAATATGATCGTTACCCAAGTTGCAAGTAAGTGGGCGGTAATAAAAGCTATTTTAATAGAACTGAAGTCCATTTGCTGGAACCGAGAAACATCAATCCGTCAAATGCCTAAAAAGCACAATGGCGTGGGGTGTCCTGCTAGCCTGGATCCACTCAAGTGATTAAAGGAGCTGCTTACCTCAGCACACTGCTGGTTTGAACCCTCTCTGAGCTATTTCCCTCTAGAGTCAAGCAATTGGATTATATTGCTTTATAGTCTGGCTGTGCAAGTCTGATCGCTCCCCAGCCTGAGCTGCGGGGAATGTAGGTTACTTAAAAACCAGACCCAAAGTTGAGAGGTTTGCAGCCCTCGATGCAGCTGGGTTATATAACAAGGCAATCTTTCCACAGGTTCAGACCTGTGTGTTTTGGGAAATGAGGGTAGGAGACTTGTTCTGCAGCATTTGTTCTTGTTTGGCTGCTTTCTGAGAGAGAAGTTATTAAACACTCTGCTTCTGTGGGCTAGGAGGAGTTTGCCAGAATAAGGTCAAGGCAGAAGCTAATGGACTGAAAAGTTACACTACAGTGACAAGCAAGGAACAGAGAATCTTATGGTATTAGCGTCTTAAGCCACTGATGTTTTGCAGCTGGATTTTCCTCTGAAAAAGACTTTCCCTTGAATTTTGAGTCCACTGTAGAAATAAGGATGTTTCTCTGTAACACGACGCTTCAGAGCTCATGTTCTGCAGACTACCACAAACACCGTGTTGCTCTAGGACAGGACAGGGTAAGGAGATGCCAACAACCGTTGCTGTCTGTGGCCCATCAAACATCTCCACTGAGCCATGGAAAACTGGGATTGGACACGGTGCTGGATCTTTCCCTCACTTTTAGCGATTGAAGTGCAGCAAGAGGCTGAAATTGTATCAAATAATGCTTTTCTAGAAAAATAGTACTTGGGCAATGGCTGTAGCTCGCATGGGGAAGCTCAGCAGTTGCCACCATGAGCAAAGCAGAGAGAACAGGAGCTCTGCTCACCTCCTGTACCGCAGCTGCCGGGTACCCAGAGCAATATCACAGAATCATCTAAGTTGGAAAAGACCTTGAAGATCATCCAGTCCAACCATTAACCTCACACTGACAGTTCCCAACTCCACCAGATCCCTCAGCGCTATGTCGACCCGACTCTTCAACCCCTCCAGGGATGGGGACTCCACCACCTCCCTGGGCAGCCCATTCCAACGCCCAACAACCCCTGCTGGAAAGAAATGCTTCCTAATATCTAGTCTAAACCTTCCCTGGTGCAACTTGAGGCCATTCCCTCTTGTCCTATTGCTTATTACTTGGTTCAAGAGGCTCATCCCCAGAATATGCTGCATCCAACACATTTTCAGGACTGTTACCAGCTCACACAACACTAACTTTTAAGTTGGTTGTTTGTTCCAAGGCTTTTTGATCTTTGCCTCAGGAAATTTCATCAGCAGAGAAACAAGAAAAGAAGTAAATGTGTTTTACTCACCCCATAGCCTGATTTGTTATCCTGGGCAAGTCATGTCCCACAAGTTAAGTGGATATAGTATTTACTCAGCCTTCAACTACAAAGGGGTGCAAGTGGGCAGCAGCGACGTTACAGCTCCAGGGGAACCTTTGCAAGGTTCTCCACTCATTCTGATCTAGGCAGGACAAAGGGACTGACCAGCCAAGTCCTTTCATTCTCCAGTTTGAACATGGAAAACATCAGTAACTCACTGATTTTTCTGGTTGGGCAAATTCAGCAAAAGACATCAAAGACTTTCTGCTCTCTCCACGGCAACGGAAGCAAGTTGCAAGGGTCAAGCCAAAAGATCACCCATAGGCCAAGGAAAAAGCTCTTACTCAGTTTATGTAGGCTCCCATTAACATTGCTTTTTCTTCTGTATTCAGCACATTTCTTCACTACCTCTCACATTATCTTGTCAATCTTCTGTTCCCACCAGCATTTCCTATCTTTCCCAGTGCTTTCTGGCACCTAAATTCTCATTTTTCTGCCACAATCTTTATCTCAATTATGTCATGGCCTTCAAGTTGCAATTCATTTATATCACTGCAAAATTTATACCAGGCTCTGAACACAGACACTTTTTGTCTAATCAAAGATGCAGGGTTTGACCCTGTCCCTCCTTCCTGCTGAAGGGCTGTCTGGCAGCCGGGACAGGCTGGGACTTATTCCAGGAGCCGGTTGAACGGACCATCTGATGTCATGTAAAGTCACCCAAAGACAGTTTTTAAACATTTTCTGAGGTATTGTCAGGGTCAATTTACTGCACAGAACAGTTCAGTTTGTAGGTTTGAAACAAAGAACAGAAGCAGCAGGAGAATTTAGATTTGTCTTCAGATGGAGATTCTACATTTGGGTTTTTAGAAAACGTATGAAGTTACAAGCTGTTCAGATTTTTGTTCTGCAAGAGTAATTGTCTCCAGAGGTAAACCCAGTTGTTTTAATAATATAATACTCTAATTTAAAAATAAAGACAGCATGGTGATTCTGATGCACTAGTTTGCTTCACAACACTCTAAAAGGAGCCACATTTAGACAATTCACGTTTGATATTCCAAATACAAGCAAAATCTAGTTGTACAGTCCCACATTAAAAGCCTCAGTTGTAGGAATGTGAAAGATTTAAGTGAACTGTATATGAAATCCCCAGATCTAGGTATGTACATTATATACTCTACAAATAACAGCTTTAGCTCTTTTTTTTATTATTATTCATGATTTTCAAAAGAATTTTTAGATCTCATTTAGTGATGTACAGCCTTCAGAACAAGCCTCGGGTAGCTGAGAAGAGGAAAATTCCACTTCTGCCAAATCTCCCTGTGATGAAAACTAGTGTCTGACTGCAGATGGTCTCAGCAAAGTGCTCAAAGTTTCTTTAGCATCACCTTCTGCTGGAAGATTAGGGAAGATACATAAATAATATGGGGGTATGTGTGTATATATTTATGCTTCTTGCTCACTTATAAACTATACAAGGTTATTGCCATGAATATTTTGAAAAAGTATAAGATTGTGAAGTAAGGAATCTGGCTCTTAATGAGACAACTCATTATTTCTAGTGGGACTAAGGCTGCCTACTACAGCACCACCAGGAAGACACTGTATAGATCACCTCATTCAGATTCGTAGTGCTGTACCTCCTGTAATACAATATGCAGATATGAAATACATTTGGTATTTTATTAAGTAAACAAAGCAATTATCAGTGCACATTTTCAGCAGCAAAAAGAAAAGAAGCACCTCAGACGTTCATACCGTAACAAAAGTTCTGTGGAAGCTGCATTTTATTTGAAAATCCACCCATTTTTGCTAACATACATTTTAATATTTTAAACAAAAATAGAATCTGCAGAGACAATGCAGCAAGTATGCTTAATTCATGTACAGAATTGCTTTCATATCATCGACTATCCCTCTGAAGGCCCCACTCCACCCAGAAGTTATGATGTATTTACACAAAGCACCGATCAACAGTGCTACTTTAATTCTTCATTAACTAAATACCCACTAGACATATGTAAGGAAGCTACTTTCCCTTTTTTTAACTCTTAAAAGGTAAGTGATCATAAACATGGCACTAGCCAAATGAAAAGGCTTTTCTCCCGCCCCCCCAACACACACCACCTCAATTTATGTATTTTATTTTTTTACAGAAAAGAAGGAAAGTCTTAAGGTGAAAGCAATTCCTCACATTCATTTTGGAAAGGCCTTATAATGTCAAATGTAAAAATAATGACATGCCAAGCACAAAGCAATAAAGTTCCTTCCCAATGCACTAATGCTGAATTAAAAATGTAGTGCTTCTTCTAGTCAGTTAACTGTTCCCTTGCAAAATCCTAGGCACAGAATTGACTATAAGGATTAATGCATTTTACAGCTCTTCCCTAATTCCCATATATACTGAGAATTCATTAGATTCAGACCTTTAAAATATTTAGTGCTCTGTATGTCAGCTGAAAAGCATTCTGAATCAGATTCATTCTTTGTGGATAAAAATCAGACATACTGTATACACCCATACTCATTTTCATAAGGAGGTTTTTTTGATACAATATTAATGTTAAATTGATAATCATAAATAAATACAAACAATAATACATAAGGAATGTCTACTGCAAACTGAATATATAATTTTTAAAAAAAGTTAATTTCCATTACTGCTGTGCCTACGTTTGTGAGGACTGAAGAAAAGGTAACTGCAGAATTAAGAGTTAGGATTTGACCCTCCCCTGCCCAAAGTCTTGTCTCGAGTTACAGTAAAGGACACATCTCCATTCCAGACGCCATTTCCAAACACCAAGGTGAATTTCCAGAATAAAGGCTTCTCTTCGTACATTACCAATTATGGATTAGAAGCTGAAAGTATCGACGTGTTAGTCACCAGGACAAAAAAATAGATCTTAAATCTTATTTCATTGCAATTCTTGGCTTTTTATTGTATATTGATGTTTTCTTACTGAGATGTCCCAGGTTCCTTCATTGGTCTTCATCATTTCACTGCATCATTTAATGGAAGAGGAGAGTTTGAGAGACTGAAGTTCATTTTTTCCTGGAAGTGGGGGTTTACTGGTGAGCACATTTTTTTGGAAACGTTCCTTTCTCTTCCGTCTAACACAGTTACATAAACTGAATCTGGAAAGATTAAAAACCCTCGTGTTAACATCCAACAGACGTAGGACTTCACTATAAACCTGTGTTTTCCTCAAAAATTTCTATTCTTCAAATGCCCAAGCTACCCCAAGATCTGAAGTTTTAAACAGAAATAAAAATTGTACAAAATCAGGGCCAGAAAATAACCAAAAGCCATCAGGATGTTTTTTCCAACTACACCAGCCTTTGGAAGACCCCTTTGCATTAAAAGCTGGCTCGTCCAACAATAAAACCCTCTCCTTATCCATGCAATATTGTCACCAGTGGCTGCGTAACACAGATCAACATCACTATGAAGAGAACTCAAGGTCATGGTTCAGGCTGAACCAGAGGAAGTGCACAAAGAAGAACAGAAGGCTGGGTGTAATAAACCCTAATCTTTCTTTGCACAATGTATTCTTGAATTTTTTCCACAGTTTCACCCATTTTAGTATTTAATTCACAGCTGTCCCTGATTGGTAAAAGAGAACAGAACTCCTCCAGTGCACATCTGTACTAAAGTTTAACCCCTGCACCCATGGAACGAGTAACTTCTCCTGCATAAAGTGAAGTCTTTGGCTGAGTAATCTGGTGAAGAGCACGAGCAGACTGCCAGCAGCAGTCAGGTGTTTGCTGCTAACCATGAACCCTAAACATTTTCCTGATGAAATGGTAAATAACAGGTACCAGTTCCTTCCCCCTGACTGGAGCCAAGTACCACGTGTGCTGGCTCTTGCAGTTTAGTAGGGAACTGTTAAACTTTATTTCCAATGGACTGAAGCAAAAATGACTTGATTTGGCCTATAAGCCACTTCAGTTAAGTACATTGAGTTTCCGAGTCACTTCCACAATGCTTCCAACTCAACATGACTTGTTTTTATTTTCTTCAGAAACAGTTCTAGTCATGTAATTAAACTTGAATTAGAACTTTAATTTTGTTTTATAATCACAAAAAACAGCATCTCCCCAGAATAATGGACAATACCTAAGTTGTTCTACAAGAAATCCTGGAGAGAGAGCTCTGCAAAGGGATCCTTTCCTGAGGCTCTGTGAGGACTCTGACTGGAAGGGCTGGATGCTGCAGACAGCTAGTAGGAAAGACGACAGAGAAAGGGAAAGAAAAAGAAAAAAGGTCTCAGAATGACAGAATATGAAAGCTGAACGTGTAATGAAAGGACAAGGGGAGGCTAAGAGGCAAACTTGGCAGAAATCAACTACTAGAACAAGGCGTTTGGTCATATGGAAAACAGAAAGCCTCTTCAATGGTTGGTGTAATGCAGAAACAAGCTGGACATGACCCTCCATAAAGGAAACTTCAATTGGCATTTGCC